AGCAAGCCATTGATCCCCTGGCTGGAAAGTCACACTTAAGGAAATGAAAGCATTCAGGTTCTGAGCAGATAACTAGCCCTAGGTTTGAGGATTTTCTGTGTGCATAAGCCTTGGAATGATTTCAAGACCTACGTATTCCTATCTTTCTTTCATCTGACTTTTAGCCTTCCATTTGTCATTTTTTAGAAGGCTTTCCACTTGTTTTGAGTAGAAAGGATGCAGAAGGGTGAGGAAAGGCTCTCACCTCTGGAAATGTTTAATATCCAGACAGTTGTTAGCAATGTTTGGCATTGCAGAAAGCCTCATGTGGGAAAATGAAGTTTGGATGTTAGGGTTGTTGTTTGTCCTTCATTCTCAAGGAGGACCAATGACGTCAAAGGGTGATGACCTGTGCATGAACTGGATATAAGGTGAGGCAGAACCATGCAAAGTAATCAGCCTCACTCTCTCCTCCAGATTCATCAGAGACCAGGGGTGAGACAAAAGTTAAGATGGCTGGTGATGGCCCGGAACGTTAAGAGTAGGGTGGCTGGAGTTGGAGCTGTGGTAGGGATGTGTGTGCAAGAAGTAGGGTGAACAAAGGGCTGAATGAGAGAACAAAGGGAAACTCTGCGCGTGTGCACGTGCGCGCGCACGTGCGTGCGTGCGTGTGTGTGTGTGTGTGTGTGTGTGTGTGTGTGTGTGTATGGAGGTACAACGAGTAAGGAATGATGGAAGGGGAAAGGAAGTACCTGACTCTAAAGACCATTATGTCTTCATATACAACACTGATCAGAATAGAACATGCAATACAATACATTATAAGATAATATCATACATTACAAGATAATAAAGTACAATCATTAAGCACTTAACTGCATATAGAGCATACTCAGTGCCCATCCTAAGCCTTTTTCTTTTTGGATTTAGGCTCATTTGGTAAACTTGGTATTACTTGGTAATAGTCTAAAGAAGTTTAGTGGACAGAAAACAGTATGAGCCAACAATGTGATACGGGAACCAAGAAAACTATTGTGATCTTAGGTTATAACAAGAGTGACAGGGACTGTGTAAGCTTAAAGATATGACAGTCCCATTTTACTCTGCTCTGTCCAGTGGAAGGAAGGAGGCAAGGATGATGAAGGGCCCTGAGCTCATGCTCCAGGAAGATCAGTTGAAGGCAGTGGGGATGTTTATCTTGGAAAAGAAAAGACTTGATGGTTTTGTGTGGGTGGGATACAATTCTTGTAGAGGGAGATCCCACAAATTCTGCTTGGCCACAGAGGATAGAAAAGGGGCAACTGGGAAAAATACCAAGAGACAAATTTAAGCTTGGTGTCAGGAAACAAGCAAATACTATTTTAATAGAGCTTTCCAGGAGTAGAATAAGCTGCCTCAACAGGTAGAGGGTTTCCTTTTACTGGAGGTCTTCAAGCAAAGACTAGATGACCACTTGTTAGTTATGTTGTAGAAGCTTTTTCAAATATTGCTTAGACTAGAGCCAAAGATCCCTCCCAATTGAAATTTTGTAATGCTAAGATTCTAGGAACAAGTAATTCAATTTACTTAAACATGCATTTATTAAGCACTTATTATATGTAAGGAATGAAAAGACAAAGTGGAATGCTCCCTGTCCTAGAAGAATTTATATTCTATTGGGGGACAAAACTCCAAGTAATGAGGGGAGAGGTAGAGAGAATGTAACAACTGAGATCATCAGGAAAGGCCTTATACCATCAGGAAAGATGTAATTTCAGTTGAACCTTGAAGGAATCTAGCAATTCCAAAAGATGGAGCTGAGGAAGAAAAGCATTACAGAAATGGGGGGGGGGGGATGTCAGGTGGAAAGACTTGGAAGCCAGAGATGGAAAGGGATTGCATTTTATAGATAACAGCAAGCAGAGCAATTTGGCTAAAAGGTGGGATCAATGGTGGAGTGTACCGTGCAATAAGCTCAAAAAGAACTTTGGATCTGGAGAGTGAAAAGCTTTAAATGCTAAACTTGGGAGTCTTCATTTTATCCTGGAGCCCATACAGAATTATTTCCTGAAGGTTCTTGAGTCTCAACTCAACAGGTGACATGTCCATCAACAAGTCAACAAACATTTAGTAATTGCTTACCATATTCTAGGCACTCTACTAAAAGCTGAGGATATAAATCCAAGCAGAAAAGATGTCAGTCCCTGTCCTCAAGGGACATGGTCAGAGTTACGCTTAATAAAATTATTTGGGGAGCCAGATGGAGCCTGGATGGGAGGGGAGAGATACTGAAAACAGACAAACTGATTAGGAAGCTATTTCAGTGCTCAAGGTGAGAGGTAATGAGCGCCTGAGCTAGGGTGGTGTGTGAGTGGAGAGAAGGGACTTATGTAAGAACTGTGGTGGATGTAGAAACAGAAAGCTTTGCCAACTGATTGGAGGGTGAAGAATTGAGAATAACTTTGGGATTGTGAATCTGTATAACTAGAAGGATGATATGAACTTGAGAAAAATAGGGAAATTAGAAGGATGGATAGATTTAGGGGTAAAGATGATGAGTTTTGTTTGGACATATGTTTGAGATATTTATTTGAGGCATCCATATGGAGATGTCTGAGAGGTAGTTGGTTATATGGGACTAGAACAGAAGAGAGATTAGGGATGGACATAAAGATTTGGGAGTTATATAGAGATGATAACTGAACCTATGAGAGTGGGTAAGATCTCTCTCTCTCTCTCTCTCTCTCTCTCTCTCTCTCTCTTTCTGTGTCTCTCTCTCTCTCACACACACACATACACACATCCCTATACACATACATAACATACAAAATAATTGAATCCATACCTCAGAAAATCCCCAAAGAAACAGTAAATAGGGGAGGGGGGATCTGGGATGGTTTCATAGTCATTTTTTGTTCCAAATAAAACATTCATGGACTTTTTATAGGTCAGTTAGAGAAAATGTAGCCCTGACCAAGTAACAGGCCCAGTGGTGTATTTCATTTAGCTATAATTTACAGATGTTCCTGGTCTGCCAGGGAAAATTGAGTTATATTGTATAACTGAATTCCAGCATGATTTCCAGAATGTGGTGCATCTCATGTTTGCCAGTGTGTTTGATTAGTTATTCATACCCATAGCATGGGCTTCAAATGTTGCCACCTCTTCTTGATGAATGGAGATCTTTCAATGAGAGTTCTTTCTGAGCAGGCCTCTTGGCTTGCTATCAATCCTGATCTGTCCATGTGGTTCTATTTGACCCAATGGTTTAACAAATAAGATAGCAAACATACAAAGGAGTGACAGAGTCATCTCCTTATGTCAGATGCATTCTACTGACATGAAGATTTCAAAGTCTGCAGTCTTGGTGACCAAATAAAAGAACTGAATCCTATTAAATCACTCAAAACCATGACTGAAACCTGTTTATCACTGGGGCTAAATGTGTCTCCAGGTCACGCTGAAAGTTAGGGTGTCAGAGGTCCTAGGTATGAATTCTTATTCTTTCCTTTGCTATCTATGTGACATTGGGGAAAATACATCAATGACACAGGAGGTTTGGTTCAGCAACTTCTTTTAAAGGAAAGAGAAGGGCCAATGAGAACGACCCATAGAATGTTTTAGCATACCAGGCCGCTGTTCCATGCATACCTATAATTGCCCTACTTGTCTGTCCTGCTGGTATCTCAAATTCAACAGGTCCAAGTTTTAACTCATCATCTCTCCTCGAAGCACTTCCTTCTTTTGGCTTCCCTATTTTTGCTAATGGCAACATCATCCTCCCCAGCATCCAGGCTTACACTGTTGTAATTATCTTTCACTAATCAAAGCAACAAGCATTTATTAAATACTTACTATGCGCTAGGCCCTGTGCTAAGTGCTGGGGACCCAAAGAAAGGCAAAAACTTCTTTTTCTTCTGTCTTCAAAGAGCTCACAATCTAATGGGCCATTTCCTAAGCACCATTCGATAGATCCTTCTTCCTCACCACATTCTTCAGGTGAGCTTTCCTCACCAATTTGCTAATTTCCTTTTGGCTACCTTAGCACAGCTTCCTAATAAATATAGTAGAATATTCCTATCTTCTGCTTTTTCAACCTAGAATCCAAAAGACAAGACTAGCTTTCTCAACAATCTCCTCCCACAGCTAGTCCATTGGACAATTCTACTGTTGTTGTTCAGCCATTTTTCAGTTATGTCCAACTCTCTGTGACCCCATTTGGGGTTTTCTCAGCAAAGATTCTGGAGTAGTTTGCTATTTCCTACTCCAGCTCGTTTTATAGGTAAGGAAACTGAAGCCAACAGGGTTAAGTGAGTGTCTGAGGCTAAATTTGACCTCTGGAAGATGAGTCTTCTGACCACAAGCCCAACACTGTATCCACTATGGTGTCACCTAGCTGCCCAGTCCTATAGATTCCACTTCTTGCAATGTGCTTCTGATCACCTTGTTTCTATTCCTCTTGTCACTACCCTACTACCTCTCATCTGGAATGTTGCAAAGGCATGCTAAGCAATTCCTTGCTTTCAGCTTTGATATCCTCCAAGCCACGCTATGTACCACTTCCAGATGAATTTTCCTCAAGTACAGCTCTAATCTCATAGCTCCCTAACTCAACAAGCTCAAGAAGCCTTCACTGCCTCCACCTTACTTCTAGAACAAAGTCCTTCGCTTTGGAATTCAAGAGTCACTATGATAAAGCCCCAGCTAGCCCTTCTGGTCTGATCTCCCTCTATTCTTCTTCATGTACCCCACACTCTGGGTAAACTGGACCACTTATTCTTCCTCAGATAGGCCTTGTTCTTCCCCCCACTCCTTTTTTCAACACTATTCTCTGTAAAGAATTTTTATAAACTATGTGACCCACCCCAACTTATGGGATGTTTCTTTCATGAAGTCTTCCCTGATCCCTTTAGCTTGGAGTAATGATAGGTCTTTTCTGGATCTCTATAACACTTTGTTTTGAATGATACATCACATCCTGTCTTGCAACAGTTATTGGTGTAAGTCTCATTTCCCATACCAGAATGTAAGCTTCTTGTGTGCAAGAATGGTGTCCTATACAACATGGCCTACAACATCTGGCTTGGTGACAGGTAAGATGCTCAGGAAATATTTGTTGAATAAATGATCAAGGAAACAGGGTGGGATTCCCTTGAGCTTGCATTCTCAAATGTAATAAATGACGATATATGAAACAGGTAAGAAAAAACAATCTCAGATCTTTATTAGTATGTTCCACCCTCATTGAATAGATGGAAATTACCCAGAAGATCTTGCATATGGATTCACTGCTTCCTGTGTTTACTTAAAAAGGTGTTTTCATACCTTAGAGAGCTATGCCACAGAGTAGACAGAGAATGGAAAGGGCTGTCCCTGAGTCAGATTGAAATAGCCTGTCAAAATTCTCAGAGGATGTAGTTACAAATGAGTCATCATCAGTCTGTCCTTCAGGAAGAATAACGATAATAATGCCATTTATATATAAGGTTTACAAAGCCAGAGGCTTTCTTGACATTTTGTGATCTCGATACATGGCTAGCCCACCTCTTTCCCCCTCATACATCTCTTTGATATGCTGCTTTGTGTGTTTGTGTGTATTTGTATGTACATGTCATTATTGGCAGCATTCCACAGCCTATCTGTACCTACCCTTGAGTCTCTTCATTGCCCTATGGGCGACCCAACCTTTGGATTCCTTTGATATCGTGTTGTTCCATGAGTCACTGTCAGCATTGTGGAAGAATACTGCTATGTTCTCTTTTAGCTCTACTTCTTTTTTAGTCTACTTTAGTTTACTTCTTTTTCAAAGCAATTTTGGTGCAGACTAGGGCAGCCCTCAATGTACAAGGGGGATGAATATGTTATTCTCCTGTAGTACTTGTACTTAAATCAGATTTACAACATATCCACTGACTTTTAACTTCACCTGGGCCCTAATGCTGTTCTATAGCATGTCTGAGAATTGTGATCTTTCCTAGCTTTTAGGATGTTTCTACAAAAACTTCTTTGTCTAATTCATTTTTTTTGTGTGTGAGGCAATTGGGGTTAAGTGACTTGCCCAGGTCCACATAGCTAGTAAGTGTCAAGTGTCTGAGGTCAAATTTGAACTCAGGTCCTCCTGACTCCAAGGCTGGAGCTCTATCCACAGTATCACCTAGCTGCTCCTGTCTAATTTACTTTTGATGTGAGATTGTACCTGTTTTTTTCCCCTTTGGGTCTTCCTTTGTAGCTTTCAGACACAATAATGTCCAAAATTCTATGAAAAAATTCACCAAATGAAAAATTAACTTTGTTGTGAGTTTGGTTTGGTCTTTCCTTGCGCTGGTACAATTGCAGGTGCAGACCAGCATGGCATCCATTGGAAAACACACAGCTGATCTAAAGCCCTGTTAGGTGGAAAGACATCATTAAAGTGACTGTGGAAATCTCTTGAAAGTCTCCCCAGCAATTTTCTTAAATGTATCCATCTGGTCTTTCCATCTATCATTAAGGTCTGACTGCAGACATGACTCTTGTTTTCCATGCAAAACCCAAGGTGAAGTTTATCTTAGTTGGAAAATAAGGGAGCCAGCTGTAGGGCTATAGATGTCTCCCACACAGCCTGGCATGTTTTTTTTTTCTCTCTCTCACACATTTCCTTCTCAGATTTGTTATTTCCTGTTGCAACAGCTCTACTATCCATTTCAGGTTGGTTCCACTGTGTGAAAACCAAGGCAAGAAAACACTGTGGAAACTTAATAAATTTCACAGTTTTGCAAACTATGTGTGACTTCTCTGACTGTGAAATAAGATGGCGAAAGCAAGCTCTAAATGACAGCCAAAAATTGTCTGGCCAGGGGATGGAAACTTCATCTAGGGAAGCCTTGATTTAGCATGTTTTTGAAACCAATCTCTTCCTTCTTTTGTTTCAGAGGAGACAGAGCTATTTCATCTTATTACAAAGTCACTTCGTCTCTGTTTTGTTAGTCTGGGCCATAATAGAGAATGTTTGTTAATTGGAAGAGAGTCTGATGTGTAGCTGAAAAATAATGCTTCTACCCTCCCCCGAAGGCAGCTCAGCTACGGAGCCCACACTGTGGGTGCTAGAAGAATGGATCCCATTTGTTTTCTAGTCTTTTTTTACTTCTTCTTTCATGATCATGAGACTCTCAGAAGATCATAGGCAATAACTTGAAGGCTATCATGGACTTCAGAGGCCTTTAGTCCAATCCCTGTCCAGATGAGGAAACCCCTTTGGGAAAAAAGAGGCCCAAGAAAGTCATGAGATCATAGGTCTAGGGCTGGAAGGGACCTCAAGGGCCATTTAGTCTAGTGTCTTCCTTTAGAAATGAGGAAAATGAGATCTAAAGAGATTATAGGATCATAGATTTCAACTTGGAGAGTCCCTCAGAGGCCATATGGTCCACCCTACCCCCATTTTATAACAGAGGAAACTGAAGGCCAAGGGATTAAGTGGCCTGCCCAAGTTCTCACAAAGAACATCAGAGGTGAGATTTAAAGCTAGGTCCTCTGATTTCTGAGCCAGTGTATCATACTGCTTCAAGAATGCTCAAGTAGCACATTAGACATGCAGTAGAGATATTTTCCTGGTCAGCTATTCCCTCTGAGGACAATCGAGGTAAATATGCCCAAAGGGTGCAGATTCAATCATTTGGAGTTATTGAAGTGTAAAGCAATGTTATCTGTTTTCCAGAGTGGCTAGATACTAAAATGCCAAGGTAGAGTTAAACTTGGCATTTAGCTGGTAAGGTTTAATGCAAAGAATAAAATTGGGTGCACAGACTGAGCTGCTAAAAAAAAAGAATATGTTTTCATTAGGAATACACAAAAATCTCACCATGAGCACAGATAACAGATATTAATATTAAAATGAAATTAATTTATTTTAAAGTTAGAGGTGGCCAAAAGAATTATTTCATGGTAGTGTGAAGCAGGGTATAAGAACTTGGAAGATGTTGATTCCAGGTCACTGCTCTAGCACTCAAAAGTTGAACCCGGGGTCCAGGTGCAAGCATCAGGGAACAGGTGGTTGCCAGGGACAGGTGAGGGAGCAACTGAAATACTTGGGACTGGGCAGCTGTCAGCCAGGAGGAGTTATCCAAACATAGACTGGGCTGTCAAAGGACATCTAGAGGTCATTAGAGATCATCAAGTGAAGGTTATAGGACCTTTTGGGGTAGGGGTGGGATACTGTACATAGTATTCCAGTTGAAGTATTTAATGGACTAGATACTTTTTGTAGTTTCTTCCAAATCTGAGATTCTGAAGTCATAAGATTATGTAGGAACACAATCCCAAGGAATGTGGAAAGATCGATATCCCACAAAAGATGCTGAGGTATTGGTATTGTTCAGAAGGAGGAAGCCAGATAGAGAGGAAAGTAAGATCAAAACATTTGGGGAACACTCAGGTATACAATGGCAGCTAGGTGGCATAGTGGGTAGAAAAACCAGACCTGCAGTCCAAAAAATTTAGATTCAAATCTGGCCTAGTTGTGTGACTGGGCAAGTCATTTAACTTCTATTTACCTCAGCTTTCAGATCAGTAAAATGGGGATAACAATAGAACTTGCCTTCTAAGGCTGTTATGAGGATCAAATAAGAAAATAATTGTAAAGTGCATAGCACAGTGCCTGCACATAGTAGGTGCTATATAAATGTCAGCTATCATCATCATCATCATCATCATCATCATCATCATCATCATCGGTCAGGAAATCAGAACTCAAAATGAATGAAAGCTGGGGGGTAAGACTCAAAAGTCAGGGGGAGAGAGAAGCAATGGTGTGAGGGAGGTCCAAAGTCAAGGCCAAGGTAGCTGTTTTTTTCTAGAACCTGATCACATAAGCAGATCAACCAATCAATCAGCCACTACGAAAAGCATTTACTGAATGCTTAAGATGTGCCAGGCAGTGTGTTAAATCTGGGGATTTAAAAGTAAGAAGTCAAGTAAAAGCAAGATTGAAACACTCCCTGCCTGGAAGGTGTTTGCCTTTTCTTGGTGACAATGATGAGAGTAAGGACATGGAATGCTTGTTGTTTCTGAGCTTGTTGCTTAAGTTTAATCTGCTCCAATTAAATTGCTTATTGAAGTTATGACCCTTCTGCAAAGGTTTTGATTAATACAATATGGTTGGGTGAAAACAAAGAGGACTAGCTGGTTTGTAAATGGGGTGAGCCATGCTGTTAGACAAGAACGCCCAAGGGGTTGAGTTGCTTGACTTTCACCTCTGTCCGAGGTTCTGACTGCTCATTGAGCTGCCTATAAACACATTGGCACCACACACAATATATTACATTTTATTTAAGATCATGCCAGAGAAGCTCAGTACGACTGCAACAGATGAATTCAAAATAGTCTAAAGTACTCACATAATTTGAAGCCAAGTGTAGTAGAAGTCGTTCCGGACTTGGACTAAAGAGAAATCTGTATCCTTTGACATTTTTTAGCTATTTAACTGTGAGTACTTAACTTCCATGAACCTCAGTTTCCTTATCTATCAAATGGGAATAATAATTCCTGTAGTTGGTGGTGTACTGGAGCCAACTTGAAGAGGCTTGTGAAAGCAGATTGTTAAATTTTCAATGGGAGCATTTATACCTTTAAAATTGGCGAATGCTACAAATCAGGACTTGACTTATTGGATTGTCCAGACTTAAGAAGGTGATGGATACAATGCTAATAAGGCAGATTAAATATACATGTGTGTTATGTATACATTTCCCCCCTGGGAAGCTGATTGTTAAATATTTGCCTTCATACCCCTGCCTACAGTCAATAGGCAACAAGCATTTATTAGGCACCTATTGTATGCCAGGCTCGTGCTAAGTGCTGGAGATACAAAGAAAGCCACTCACACTACCCACCTGTATTCTTGTTATTGTTGTTCATTAGTTACTTGGTTCTGTTCAAGTCCACGTAACCTCATGGACCACGGGATTTTCTCGGCAAAGATCAGTGGTTTGCCATTTCCTCCTCCAGGGTATTCCCATTTTATAGATGAGGAACTGAGGCAAATGGAGGTTAAGTGACTTGCCCAAGGTCACACAGCTTGGAAGTGTCTGAAGCCATATTTGAACTCATTTGAACTAAT